TAGAGACATGGTTTAGTGATGAACATGACAGTGCTGGGCAAATGGTTCAACTTGATGATGTTAAAGGTCTTCTCCAACCTAAATGATTCTATGGTGACCTATATGTGACTATTGAGGGATCACATGGCTACATGAATGCTGTATAGGAATCTAAACAGTAAAGAGATCATTTATATAGAGGAAAAAGGGTTGAAGTTACTAAATACTTCCATTTAAGTATTGCAATGAAAGCAAACTTGCTGGGGAAGATACCACTGTGTTTTGAGGTGCAAAAACTCAAACACTCAAAATTAGTGCAAGAAGTGCTTTTGGCCTTTTTAGTGCAAAGCCTGAAAAGATGACAGAAATGAGGGCTCTTTTCTCATCTGCACAACATTCTGTAATAATCAAGCCTATGTGAACAATTAAGTGCTCTCCATTCTAAAACATTTCACTTACATTTGTGAGAGTACTCATTTTTTTTTTTTTCACTAAACAATGGAACACTTAATTGAGAAGACTTCTGCTTCTTTTTCTAATTAACCAAGACTTGTGATATGCAGGGTTTTTTGTTTTGGTTTTGGCTTTATTTTGTTTTTCTTTGTTTTGTCTGGGTGGGGGATTTTGTTGTTTTCTTTTAAGAATAAGCTATGAAAAGCCTTACTTCACTGCTTTCTCAGTAAGTTAAATATCTCTGTGGCATACAGATTGTGGATGTTTGGGCTTGACTGGTGTCACTTCTGTGGCAAAAATGTCACAAAATAAAGTTTATGTACAGAGGATGCTACCTGGTTTATGAGGCGTGGGGATCAGCAACTTCTGTTTCAGGTTCAGTGGAAAGAAATTATATGAGGATGAGGTAGGTGACCTATTGATCTGCTGGAAACAGAAAAAATCAGCTTGATTAAATCATCTTGAATTTAACCACAGAATTTGTAGAGCTTCCTAAAACTTGTGTTCAGTAGGAAGGTTTTTGATTTGGTTTTTATTTGGTGACATCCACACCTGGAGAAAGAAGCTTGCTGGGTGATTACAATAGGTCTGCAAGGGAGGAGAACTGGAGGGAGAACTGGAGTGGGCGAGGGAGATGGAAATGGAAAGGGAGAGGGAGATGGATTTGGAAAGACATTGAGAAGGGAGTACTGCATCTGAGCTAAAAGGACTTGTCTATCTTGGTAGAGTCTTTCTGATGGAAAGTCTGGATGTGCAGCACAAGCCAGGGGAGCACTAGGCAGGTGAGTGCAGGTGAGTGCAGGGTAGGAGCCCCATGGCTGGGGGGTCTATTACCATGGCTTGCAAGCCTTTTCTGATGTGGAAGGTTTGAGTCTCCTCTTACTTAGGCCAAGAGGTAATGTCCCTTTTTGCCGAGCAGCTCTTAAGCCAATTCTGCCCCACCTATAGTGCTGCATGGGTTTGCTGAGAGTAAGTGCAGAACCCAGCACTTTGCCTCATTGTCCTTGGCCCACTGACTGAGTCGGTCCAGATCTCTGTAGAGCCTTCCTTCCCTCGAGCATGTCTATGGATCAGGTAACACACTTTAGGGGATTTATTTTGTGTAGGATGTGTCAAGGTCTACTTTTCTGTTTGGTCGGTTGGCTGTTTGTGGTGGCTTTTTGTGCGTAGCTTTTTTTTTTTTTTTTTGGGTTTGAGTTTGGGTTTTTTTGTTTGTTTGTTTATTTGTTTTTCTCTTCCCGTGTCTCCGCTGTAAGCGTCCCGGGCGGCCGCGAGAGGTCAGCGCAGCCCGAAGTTCAGTTTGCTTATTCGGCATCCAAGGTACCACATCTGCGGAGCTGATGCCTTCCAGCCAGGGACGGGACCTTGGGCTTGCAAAGCGCTGCTTTCTGCAGCTCCTCTCCTGCGTCAGAGGCCTGGTGTTGATACTGTGCTTTGAAACAAGCGGGATCAGCTATCTCGTAATGAACGCTTCATGGCCTTCAGCACCATCTGTGCTAGGAGACCTGGGAATAATGGGGCACACTGAAAAGTGTGATGTCAAGAAGCCTTAATTCCGGGGTGCTGCATCATTAAGCTGAAACTGGAAGCTTGCATGAAGGATTAATATGTTAATAAGGTTCAATATACCACTTTATTATCTAGACAATTATATATATTTTACTATTACATATACTCTGTTCTCCACTCTGAGTTACTTTGGCTTACTAATTCGGATCCATCTGAAGTAACTTTAATTTTTAGTGCACTGAGAAAGTCATCAAAGTGATAGCTGATATCAGCATCTTTCAAAGCTGTGAGTCAGTTCTGGGTTTTCCACCTATTTCATCAGAAATAGGCCCTTGAATATATCTGAGACATACCACTTAATGTGTCTTACCATTCAAGCTATTCTTCTGCATTCATCACCATTTATATACTTAGAGAAAAAAAAAAAAAAAAAAAAAAAACAACAAACAAACCAGGAAAAAGAAAGAAGCAGATGTATGAAAGGTTTTTATCTTTTGAGAACAAACTGTACATGCTATGTATACTATGCTAATTCCAGCAAGTGGAGACAATTGCACTTGCCTGAATACAGGCCAGGAGATAATTTTCTGGAGACTTCTCACATCTTTTTTAGAGAAGGCAAAGTAAAAATTTATGCCCTTCTCACTCAAATTCAGACTGACAAGTCACTGGTTTGGTTTCCAAGTCTTTGCACGTTAGTAGGGTAAAAAAGATTGCGAGGCTCGAGGACTGGTGTTTACAATGAAGAGTTTTCTTCCCAGTACTGACAGCTCTGTAGACATCAGAGAAATGTTCTTAGAGAGGCTGGATGTGTCTGGCAGACATCATGCCTATGTTGTCACTAGCTTAAAATGGCAACTCACTAAGTGATTACTGCCAGGTCGAATGCTGTCACCTCTCGTGTCACCAGGGTCTCTAGAAACAACTGGAAGTAGAAACACAGCAGCTCATTAAAGTGGCTCTCTTTGAGAGGCATTTTGGAAATTGTGATGCTCAAAGAGACTGAAACTGAGCAGAGTATAGCATATTCAGTCACAGATAAGACGTGCTTCATCCAGGACTCCCGGTGAAGTCTTGGAAAGGACACCCCTGTGTTTCAATACTTTCGGATGGGTGTGGCTGCAAGCTAGAGAGCAGCTAGGATGACAGGTTAGGTCGCAGTAGCACAGGTTATCCCAAGGAGGCTCCGCACAGCCTCTGTGGGACCGCACGGCGCTGCTCTGAACCGGTGACTCGGTGCAGACAAGTGCTGTAAGCTTAAGCGTGTCAGATGCTGAAGGGACGTGAAAAGTGATTTGCCTTTTAACATTGTCTGTTGCTCATTCACAGCGGGAAAATATGGTTTTTTCTTGCTTGGTTTGCTGACAAACAGGTTCAAATCTGAGTTCAGCAATCACACTCGTTTCACTCTGAATTAATTATGAACACTGTCCAAATTACAGCTATTTTTAATAAAACCCGACTGAAAAAAAAAAAAAAATTGCTCTGTTTGCTCACACCACCCTCCTCTCCCAGGATCATAGACCAGCACAGCCTGCAGAAGGGTTACCAGTGACCTCAGAACAGGTCTGCATCGGGGCAATCCTGCAAGGATGAAATCTACACAGCCTCCCTGGACAGGAAGCCTGCTCTGCTGCTTGACTGTTCTCAGGGAGAAAGGATTTTTCTTACATCCCATCTGAGCGTCTTGATTACACTCCGCTCATTGTCTCCTGCTCCACTAAACATTGCTGTGAAGACCCCGGTGTTATCTTCCAAATGATCACTCGACGGGTTTTGGGCTCTGCAGTTTGCCACCCAAACTTTGCCTTGCTCAGGCTGAGCTGGCCCTGGTCCCTCAGCCTGCACAGCTTTGGACACCTCGGTGCCCTCATCTGCACTCCGGTTTATCGGCGTGTTTCCCCGGCCGGGGGTGCCCAAACCGGACAGACCACATTGCTGCGTCCCGGAGTGCTGAGCAGAGGGGGATTATCACCTGCCTCGGCCGGCTGGCCGTGCTCCTGCTCATACAGACCAGGGCGCGGCGGGGATTTCCTGCAGCCCGAGCCACTGCTGAGCATCACCAGCTGCCTGCCCAGCGCAGCCCAGGACCTCTAGAGCGCTGCCCTTAGCCCTGGTTACAGGGGCTGGCCCTTCGCGGCGTACACCCTTGCAGAAACCATATTCATAAAATCTCTTGTTTATTTTAATTTTTTTTTTTATTTTATTTCCCCTGCACTGTACAGATTTTCCTTCCAAGTCTTGGACACAAATCGCCCTATTACTTGCCAGTGCCTACGGGCGA